TTGGTAGTAGTATGTAATTGTTTTGTGGTGTATAATTAATTGTTGGATTTAATTTGCTAATATTTTGTTGAGAATTTTTGCAGTTCCATTCATGAGAGATATTGATCTGTAGTTTTCGTTTCTTCTTATGTCTTTATCTGCTTTTGGTTTTATTAGGTTAATGCTGACCTCAGAATGAGTGAGGAAGCATTCTCTCTGTTTCTATTTTCTGGAAAAGATTATAGAGAATTGGTATCATTTCTTCCTTAAATGTTTGGTACAATTCACCAGTGGAACCATCTGGGCCTAGGGCTTTCTTGTTTGGAAGATTATTAATTGTTGATTCAATTTCTTTAATAGATACAGACCTATTTATTTATTTCTCCTTGCGTGAGTTTTGGTAGTCTGTGTCCTTCAAGGAGTTTGTCCGTTTCATCTGCGTCATCAAATTTGTGGGCATAAAGTTGTTCATAGTATTCCTTTATTAACCCCTTAATGTCTGTGGAAACTGTAGTGACGGCCCCTCTTTCACTCTTTCATTTCTCATTGTAGTAATCTCTGTTTTCTCTTTTTATTTCTGGTTAGCCTTCCTAGAAGTTTATCAATCTTATTTACTTTTTTCCCCTCAAATAACCAGCTTTTGGTTCATTGTTTAGTTTTTTTTAAATTGATTTCCTATTTTCAATTTCCTTGATTTCTGTTCTAGTTTATATCATTTCTTTTGGCTTATATTACCTTTCTTTCTCTAGTTTCCTAAATAAGAATTTTACATTATTGATTTTAGGTCTTTTTTTCTAATATATGCATTTATACTATAGATTTCCTTCTAAGTGCTGCTTTCACTACATCCCACAAATTTTGGTAAGTTGTGTTTTCATTTTAATTTAGTTCAAATTCTTTTTAAAAAATTCCTCTTGGAACTTATTTTTTGATTCATGCCCAAGTGGTCTTGGGTTAAGCTACATGCAGCAATTGAGGCTGCAAATGCTCAGTGACACTGCTCCCATGTTTTTTTTTGGTTTTTGTTTTTGCGGTACGCGGGCCTCTCACTGTTGTGGCCTCTGCTGTTGCGGAGCACAGGCTCCGGACGCGCAGGCTCAGCGGCCATGGCTCACGGGCCCAGCTGTTCCGTGGCATGTGGGATCCTCCTGGACCGGGGCACGAACCCATGTCCCCTGCATCGGCAGGAGGACTCTCAACCACTGCGCCACCAGGGAAGCCCTGCTCCCATGTTTAAGCAAACCCACGTGCTGGAGACCCAAACCAGATTCAAGCTGGGCCACCTGTTCGGATGTGGGGATGGTGGGCCTCAGATGCCTCTGCATGGGGGAATAGGGCTACCTTCCAGCCATCATCACCTCTGATTATTGCCACTTAACCCCCATCCCCAACCATGTGCTCTCATCGGACCCCCAGGTTGTCCTGTCTTCATGCCCAGAGATCATGGTCAGAACCCTGTCTACCAGGCTGGTGAGGTGGCCCAGCCCAAGTCAGCACCTGGGTGGGTCACGAGGGCAACAGATGGCCGGCTTGAGCCTGCCTTGGCTGAGTGGGGAGGAGCGTCTCCTCCCATGTTTGGGTTGATACCACTGTCAGGCCCTCAGAAAAGAAGCTAAGGGTCATTGGAGATGCGACCTGCACCCCACCTGGGACTCGTGAGGGTCTGAGTCAGCATCCCGGGAACATGGCCGCGGTCGGGTCTGTGGGTCGCCTCACCCCCAAGTGGGCTATCGAGCGAGTGTGGGACACGCTGAGCAGGAGTGGCCCAGCCCCCGTCAGCCCCTGCGACCTGGGACAATTTGAGTGTGGCTGAGGGTAGGATTATCTCGAGGGAAGCTATTGGCAGGGGGCCCCCATGCACCCTGTGTGTCCTTGCTGAACGGCTGGATTGCAGGGCTGACTGTCTGAGACCGAGTGCTTTCTGTCGCCATGACAACCGCCACTAGGCAAGTCAAGGGGACCCAGGGGGACCACCATCGACTGCCCACTCCTGTGGGGAGGGACTTCTGTGTCTGCTGCTTGCCCCAGGGCTCCAAGTCCCTCAACTGTGATACGACCCACTCTGCATGCAGCCCATCACATCACCCTGGAACACAGGGCAGGGACCTGGTGCTGCCGTGTGAGGCCTGTGTGCTGTGACCCCGAGTCCCGCCGGCTCCTGTCAGCACCTGTGGAGTGGTGAGCGGTTTGTTCTTGGCATCCTCTATGAGCCTGCAGTTCTACCACCTCCCCTGCAGGGGCTGCTTAGTCCCTGCATGGGAGGCCAGACCACTCACCCAACACTGGACCAGCACAACGCAGGCCTCACCACTGCCCGGTGGCTGTCCTCCTGAGTCACCTCCCAACACACATCCAGATCTGGCGTCTGACCACTTCTCTGGATTCGCGTCACTGGAGGGACTACAGCCCTTCTGTGCCCCAGGGCCCTTGCATGGCTGTCTCCTCTGGCCAGAATGTCCTTGTCCCTTAGGGAATTTCCTCCTTGGCTCTCACTGACCTTGCCCTCACTCCCTCGCGTCTCATCCCATTTTGTACGTCACACTGCTTCATGAGCTTCTTAGCCCTTACCAAATCCTGAAATTATCCTGCTTACTTTTTTTTTTTAATTAAAAAGATTGAGGTAGAGGGAATCCCCTGGCGGTCCAGTGGTTAGGACTCCGCGCTTTCACTGCGGAGCGCCGGGGTTCAAGCCCCAGTCCGGGAACTAAGATCCCGCAAGCGCAAGCGGCGCGGTGGGTGGGAGTAGTGGGGGAAATTGAGATACAGTTGATGTATATCCTGCTTTAAGCTTCATGAGGGTAGGGCCTGGTCCTTCCTCCCGGTGGGTCCCCAGCGCATTGGCGGGGGAGGGCGTCCATCCTCCCTGGCCGGCTCCCTGGGGGAAATCAGCAGTCCCCTCCCGCAGACCCTGGCCCTGACCCACGGCAGCAGGGCTCGGCCAGCCACTGTTCCGCCGGCCGTGTCTGCCGGTCGGAATCCATCTGCGATGGGTCAGCAGCCGCGGGCTGAAACAAGGCCCCGCACCCGGGTCCCGCGAGTCCCCTCTGCCTCCTCTCCCGGCGGCCGCCCCCACCCCCACCTTTCGCTGTCCCTGCAGCCGCGTTCTGTCCCCGCGGCCACCAGGTGGCGCCGCAGGCCCACGCACGGCCGGAGGGCTCGGCGCAGGGCCGCTGGGCGCCTCTCTCCGGGAGCCTGTGGGGCCGGGGTAGGAGGTGAGGGTCTGCGCCTGGCGAGCGGCCGAGGGGGCCAGAGTCGTCCGGACGGCTCGGGTGGTGTCTTCGGAGGGGGCGACACGTTCCCTGGTGCGCCCCGGGGGCCGCCTGCGGGACTGTGGTTGTCGAGAGGGTCCCTGGGGGAGCCCCGTGACCCTCGACCCCTCCAGGCCCCGGTAAGAGGCGGAGAATCCAAGGGAGGGGGGCTGGCCGCGGAGGCGGGGACTGCGGCGAGGCGAGCGGGGCGGGGGGAAGGGGGGGAGACGGGGACCGGGGGTGGGGGCGCAGGGACTGGGGCGGGGACCCCGGGGCGTGCGGGGCGATGGCCTGGTTGCAGCCTTCGAGCCTTCCCTTTCCCCGAAGTGACGGGGCGCGCGGGGGGCGGGGGAGCGCGGGAGGCCTGGAGGCAGGGGCTGCGGCCGGAAGCGGGAGGGGCGCGGGCACTGGGGACAGATGGGCCCTGCGGTCGTCAGAGCTTTGTGTCCGAGAAATGGTGAAAGTAGAGAGACACGTGGGTGGGTTTGTGGGAGCGCTCCGCTCTGCGCAGAGACCCTGCTGAGGAAGGGGGCGGCGGGGAGAGGGAGCATCGCCTCTGCTGAAGCTTGTGACGCTTCTGGGACAGAGCCCAGATTAGAAAAGCGGCCACGGCTGGGGCCCTGACATTTCCTCTCAGGTCTGAGCCTTGGGGATGAGACCGCCCCAACCTCCCCGGTGGGACGGCAGCCCCTCCAGCTTGCCCGGAACCTTAGATCCCGAGCCTGCAGGCCAGCCGCAGACTTGCCTGCGGAGTGAGGATTCGGGGGACCCTGACTCCCTAGAGCAGGGGCTAGCTGGTGAGGGGAGCGGGGAGGTGGGGCGTGGGGGGGATGTCGTCCTTGGGGCAAAGGTGGTGCCGGTGTGGTGTAGATGCGTCTGGTTCCCTCTGCCCAGGCCTCCTCTCCGGTCTCCAGACCCCCTGTGGGGGACACCTGGAAATTGTTATGAGAAGGGAAGTGTCCTTTCTCTCTGACCCAGGGTCCATGTACGCTAAAACTGTGGTGGGTTCACTTGTCAGCTTGCAAGGTGGGTGAAAAATCAGACCCTTCAATTCTTCACAGAAGAACCCTCCAACCCTGGGTTTTACTGCAATCTCCCCCCCCCCCCCACCCCCCCCCCCCCCCCCCCCCCCGCAGGCCCCGGCCTTTGTTCTCTTAACCAATTAGACCTGAGGCTAAGCCCGCCACCAGGCTGCCCCTGCTCAGAAGCCTCATCCATCAGGGCGGGGGCCAGGCCTCCCTGCAAACAGCAGCCTTGTGGGTACCCTCCTGGGGCTGCTGGTGGCCAGGGGCTTTTGCCTCCTTAATACCCTACATCAGATTAACTCCACGTTGTATTCTGGCCCCAGTTCCCATTGCACCTACTTTCCACCCCAGATTACCCTTAACCCCATTAAGTGCAGCAGAAATTACACTTTCAGGTCAACGGCAGCATAGAGGCTCTGACGCTGTGACAGCCCAAATTTGGGTATAAATCTTTTCCCAATATCCAGTATTCCAGGAGAAATTACAGTACAAGAATTAACCCTTTCCCGAAGTAATATAAGCCTCAAAGAAATTGAACTAAAATTCTTAAGTTCAAGTCCAAACAAGCTCCAGTACTAGGAAGGAAAACAATCTCAAACAAATCAGTTGGGCTTCCCTGGTGGCGCAGAGGTTGAGAGCCGCCTGCTGATGCACGGGACGCGGGTTCGTGCCCTGGTCCGGGAGGATCCCACATGCCACGGAGCGGCTGGGCCCGTGAGCCATGGCCGCTGAGTCTGCGGCGTCTGGAGCCTGTGCTCCGCAACGGGAGAGGCCACAGCAGTGAGAGGCCCGCGTACTGCAAAAACAAAAAAAACAAAAAACAAATCAGTTCTGTGTTGCAGTTTCTGAGAAACAGGTCACGTGACTTCCCGCCTCCTCTGGGCGAGGCTGTGGCCCCGGGGCTGGAGGCTGGCAGTCAGGAAGGCGGGATGGATTCCAGACACAGGAGCCCGCATGAGTTAGCAGTTTCCTGGCAGCAGGAGCTCACAGTCTAGGCTTTTCTTTGACAATCAAAAGGCTGCTTTGTTGTGTCTAGTGGGAGACTTTCCCTTCTTCCCTTCTAGGGTCTTTGGCTTGTGTAATAATTAAATTGACATAAAACAACTTAGCAGCAGAAAAACAAATTTTGTGCATACAGGAGCCCCATGAAAACATGAGACCCAAAGGGCAGCCAGAAAATTGTGGCTTTGGTAACTTCCTGAGCCAAGGAGAGGGGTGGAGTCTGGGGTACAGAGGAAGGCAGGCAGCAGGATGTTGGTGCAGAAAGGCTGCTCTGCAGTGTCTCTTAGCTTGCTTCCTGGTCTCCAGTGTGAATTAGGCAGTTGAGAGGGAGGTAAAGCACTTTTCCTGAATCTGCTGGACTCTGATTGCCTTTAAAGCTCTTCAGGAGACCACCCAAGGCCAGATTAAAGGAGCGCAGGCCCTGCACACACCCTGATCCTTCTCAGCAACCCTGCCCTTGAACCATTGCTATAAAACTCCTCACCAAATCCTCCCCGGCTGGAAAACAGTTCTGAGGGCATGAGCCCACTGTGTCCCTCTACCTGGCAAAGCAATAAAGCTATTCTCTTCTACTTCACCCAAAACTCGGACTCTGGGATTCGATTTGGCACTGGTGCACAGAGGCTGAGTTTTCAGCATCGATATTTTGGGGTGGCAAAACCTGCTCCCCTTAAGTTTAAAGAAGAAAATCCTTCTGGGGGTCTTCTGTGGCTTTGCCTGTCCGAGGCCTGGAGTTGGCAGGGTGAGGGGCCAGGATGTCCCCTGAGCACCTACTGTCCCACCTTCCTCTCCCTGCCTGGGGTTTTGTCAGCCACCTAGGGTTAAATCAACACACCCAGAGTCTCTCTCCTTTAAAAAGGCCCAAGAGGGGCTTCCCTGGTGGGCAGTGGTTGGGAGTCTGCCTGCCGATGCAGGGGACACGGGTTTGTGCCCCGGTCTGGGAAGATCCCACATGCCGCGCAGTGCCTGGGCCCGTGAGCCATGGCCGCTGAGCCTGCGCATCCGGAGCCTGTGCTCCGCAACGGGAGAGGCCACAACAGTGAGAGGCCCGCGTACCGCAAAAAAAAAAAAAAAAAAAAGAAAAAAAAAGGCCCAAGAGTTACTAGGTTGAATATGATTTTCACATCACCAGATCTACAACCACACAATTTAGAACACGGTTCTCTCCACTTCGCAGAGATTTTCCAGGAAGAACCCAGGACTCTCCAGCAGCAGAGACTGGGGGTGTTTGAGGGAAAAAGGAGAGACCGTGGAGGAGACCGTCTGGTCAGTGGTCACTTCAAGTGGCAAAACAGCTCAGGCTGTTGCTCCCTGCCCCTCCTGCACTGTGAGAGGCTGGGCGCCAGGAGTCGTGCCCCTGCCTGGACCCCAGGCTTTGGTGAGGAGGCCCAGTGGGCAGAAGGGCTGGGACTGTCACTGCCTCACCCTCCCGTCCCCAGGATCCCCAGGAAATAGGAGCAGCTCCCCCATAGCAGGAAGTGGAGACTTGCAAGAAAAACAGTCAGTTGACGGACGCAGCATCTGACCGAGTCATCGTGCCAGATGGACCCGGAATGCTGAGAAGTGTGGCTAACATAATCCCCATAATCAGGTCTGGGCGGTGCTGGGGCAGCAGAGACGGACCTCAGGAATGGAACAGGACTAGGCCAGCACAGAGGGAAGCTCGTGCATGGGGTACAGATGGACTGAACTCTGAAACCACACTAACACTGGAAGAAAACAGGGGTGAATCCCTCTTCGATCTCAGGGTGAAGGAAGTCCTTCTAACTGGTAAAGGGAAAAGCACAGGCCCAAAACGGGGTCATTTGTGCTAAAGTCCACGATACCAAACCTAGCCTTCTACCCGACCTAACTGCATTTCAGCCTTCCCCAGAAATGCGATCTTAATCAACCAGCCTGGAGCTTCCTGGTCGGCACCGAGGAGGTGATCTGCCCCCGGGGATTTCTCTGCGCCCCGGGAGGATGAGGGAGCAGCTTGCCGTCCCGCCTCCCCCCACTCCCCAGGAGGAGATGTCCTGGCCCTACCCTCCTCCTTCCTATAAAGCCTTCCATTTTGTACTGCTCCTCTGAGCGCCCTGATACTTGCTGGATGAGATGCTGCCAATTCATGAATCACCAAAGAAAGCCAGTTAGAGGTTCAGATTTGCTCAGTCGAACTTTGTTTTTTACATAACCAGACAAGAACAAAAGGTGAATAAATTTGACTACATAAACAGTTTTTAAAGTTGTGTGACAAAAATGCCATATACAAAGTACGAACAACTGACAAACTGGGAGAAAATATTCAGAACATACACCCAGAAAAGGGGCTAATAACCCTAATATGTCAAGAAGTCTTAAAAAGCTGAATAGCGAAAATGGAGAAAATACGCGAGCAGAAAATTTATATTAAAAAAAACACCCTAAACATATGAAAAAACATAGAAATCACTCATCATTAGAGAAATGCAATTAATATAAGACTGAGGTCCTACTTCTCACCTATCAAAGTGGCAAGAAATTTAAAATTATGACCCAATCTTTTGTTGAAGCTGCAGGGAAACCAGCACACTCATATATCACTGGGGGGGGACCACAAATGGTAAATCCTGAAGAGAAATTGGGTGAGACCTGACAAAAATATATATGCACTTAGCCTTCACCAAGCAACCCTTGTTTTCAGGAATCTACCCTGAAGATGCACTTCAAACAATGGGAAATAGATATGCAAAGGGGATTCATTGCAGCAATGTTTATAAAATGTGAAATACGTATGCACAAGGGGATTCACTGCAACATTGTTTAATCACAAAACATTAGGAGCAGCTTAAATGTCCACACTTAAGAGAGCGGTAGGATAAATAGGTACGTCCAGACTGGCGCGCAGGCCCTGAAGGAGGAGAAGGAGGGTCACTCTAAATGGAGGGGGTGTGGCTCCCAGGCCGTATACCGTGAAGCGAAAAAGGACAGCAGATCACCTATAGTGCCCCCTTTCTTTTAAGAAGGAAGATGATATGCATCTGCTCATTTGTGGAAAAAGACACAGGAAGCGTAAACCAGAAACTGAAGAGACTGGTTACCTACTAGGTGGGTGAGGAAGGGACGGACAGGGTGGTGTGGACCCCACTGAGTACATCTTTTTATGGAAATTCAACTGCTGGAACCAAAGCAATGCTTCACATACCCCAAAAGTAAACAGGCAGTTTGGACCAATAAGCACTGGGGAGCATCCACAATGGGATCTGAGCCTCAGAGGTGAGTCTAGTGCAGATGGAGGAACTCCACCAAGGACAAGGCTGGGAAAACCCAGCCAAGTTGAGTGGTAACAGGAACTTGACAGGAAGCCGAAAGGCTAACGACAAAAAGGGCTGCCGGGTGAACACGTGGTAACAGGACTTCCCTCAGGGCTGTGGTCTAGGACTTCTGGAACTATTTTATCTGTACACGAGAACTGAGCAAATACGTAAATCTTTGTAGATGAGATCTGATCTTCTTGCTGTTGGAGAAAGAAGTTATGAGAAGGGAAGGGAGAAGGCTTGCCAGAGCCCTGCAAGGTGGGGTGGGTGTCCCGCGGTCTGTGTAAACTAGTGGTCTGTAACCTACACACAGAAAGACACAGAGAAAAGGACCTAATTGCCGTTTCAACCTTCCTCAGAAATGTGACATTTAACCAGCCAACCTGGAATTCCTGGCCAGCACTAGGAGGAGGTTTGCTGATAGACCCTCTTCCGTTCTCCTAAGAGGGCAACGTTACCTAAAAAATGCACTCTTTGCTAATAATTTCCTTTTTCTTGTTCCCTTTCTGCAGCTATAATGAAGTTCCTTTCTATTGCTGGATGGGATGTGGCCTGATTCATGAATCGCTTAATAAAGCCAATTAGATTCTCAAATTTACCCAGCTGAATTTTTGTTATTTAACAGATTTGGTGGCAGTGGTGGGATCAAAGGAAATTTCCAGCAGCTTTGGTGACAAGGAGAAAGGCAGTCACTGTACTGTGAGCCCCTTTTTGAGTTCACTGTCTTCCAGGGGCCGTGGGTACATCCCCTCTCAGTTCTGAGCTCTGCTCTCTGTGTCAAGCCCCCAGTCTAATTGGCCTACGGGGCAGGACGGCTCATGCTGGCAGCCGGTTCTTTTTTTTAAGATTTTTTTGATGTGGACCATTTTTAAAGTCTTTAGTGAATTTGTTACAACGTTGCTTCTATTTTCTGTTTCGGTTTTTTGGTCCTGAGGCATGTGGGATCTTAGCTCCCAAACCGGAGATTGAACCTGCACCCCCTACATTGCAAGGTGAAGTCTTAACCACTGCACCACCAGGGAAGTCCCCTGGCAGCCGGTTCTGCCCAGAGCTAAGCCCCTGGGCTTTCAGACTCCACGTCCCAGGTTTTCGTGTGGAACAGCCCCCGTGTGGAGCCCCCAGTCTGCAGGGCCCCTCACTGGGGTCTGCGGGTCCGGCCCTCTCCCCAGGCCAGCGTTCCCTGGGCAGTTGCACGGGTGCGTGCAGGGCCTTCTCTTGGCCAGGACGCAGCCACAGCCCTCAGTTGCTGCTCATGTGTTAAGCTGCACACACTTACTTGTCTTCTTTTGTGTAGATAAAAGCTACTGCTAATGGGGGTCTCAGAGGCCAAAAAGCTGCAAACCTTGGTGAACACGAGTTGAACTCTTAAATACTGTTAGTGCACTTGTTATCAGACCCAAGGACCTGCATGTTAGGATAAGTTGGTTACAGGACGGGCTCCATCAACTCAGGGTCACCTGCCAACCTCAAGAAAACTTCCCAGCAGCAAGGTCACCGCGTCACATGCACTGTGCCCAGCCCAGCGGCACATCCCTTTGAGGTACTTGTTTGACTCCAAGAAACCTGAAGCCTCAGGTCACGGGATCCTTGGACTCTGAACTGTCAGGTGCCCGGCCTTCCCAAACACCTGCTGATTTTTTTTTTTTTTTTTTTTTGGTACGCGGGCCTCTCACCGTTGTGGCCTCTCCCGCTGCGGAGCACAGGCTCCGGACGCGCAGGCTCAGCGGCCATGGCTCACGGGCCCAGCCGCTCCGTGGCATGTGGGATCTTCCCGGACCGGGACACAAACCCGTGTCCCCTGCATCGGCAGGCGGACTCTCAACCACTGCGCTACCAGGGAAGCCCACACCCGCTGATTTTATGTCTAATAACTATGGGCCCAGAAGCTATAAATATCGACAAAAATGGCAAAATCTTACTAAAAGCAACCTAGAATTACAGTGGCCATCATGGGGAACATTCCAGTTAGATAAAATCATTCATTTAAGAGGTGCGCTTCAGAGCAAGTGTTCCCAAGCCCCACAAACAGGTGGACACCTATTTTAATTTGTGTACAGAAGCCTCCAAAAGTCTTCAAGACTCTAAAATAGCTTCATTAAAAGCCTTGTTACAGAAGGTTAATGAAAAATTAAAGACACAAGAGGTACCTGGAACGGTGACAGGACTGACGTGCCCCTCCCCCTTCCCCTCCCCCCTTCACCTGGGCACTTACATTGTGCTAATCCTCTGTCTGGACAGACTTTCCACTCAGACGAGACTCTGACACAGGTACCTTTTAGAATAAAGCCGCCCGAGGTTGCAGGTTTCCCTGCTCAGATAGCGTTCACTCTTTGCTCAAAGACCAAACCGAGGGCCAGAGTTTAAAAATTTCCTAAACCAGGGAGGATCCCCCAAAGTTTTATGGGTTTAGAGTCCTTATTGAAGCCTCTAACCCCAGCTGCCAGATCTTTATCAGCTTGTGCATGAGTTGGTAGGACCCTAGGGACACCCCAAACTGGATTCGGGAAGCAGGATGGTGTAGTCCCGAGGATGACATTCGAGGTCTGTGGTCCTCTAATGGACCAGGCAAAGCTCACGCAGTAGCAGCTGGAAGATCTTCCCGCGGCATCGCAGCTGCTGCTCAATAAGCGAGGACGCCCAGCCTGCTCTGTTTGCCCTGTGTGTAAGCGGATTATCCCAGGAGATTAGAGGGTTGATAAAAAGGCAGAAAATAGGATGCGGGAGGCCACCCGTCTGACGGAACTCACTCGTAACTGGGGCTGAGCACTTTGAAAGACTTTGGATCGAGGTCATAAACAAAGGTCCTTCAAACTGATGGCCTCATGGCTACAACAGCTCCAAGGCCAGAAGCTGAAAATAATGCCCGGCCCTCACAGCACACCCTTGGGGTCCACCATCAAAACGATGGCCCAAGATTGATATGATGTTCCATTTGTAATCACTGAAAAAGACTGTCCTCAAAGGTCCTATGCAAATTCATCGATATCCACTCAACTGACCCAATGTGGGGGGGCCCCTCCCAGGACTGACAGGGTCGCAAGGGACCCTCCAGTAAGCTGCTACCGGGAAAATACCCTTAGACAGCCAAGGGGAAACTACAGTGAAAATTAACGGGAAACCTTGACCAATTCTGGTAGATACTGGGGCTGCCCTTTCTACTTTAAGCCCTACCCTCACAGGACAACAAACCCCTCAGAGTGAAAACAAGTTTCCATAGTGAGGTATCGGGGTCAGAGAGAGATTCTACCTCAACTGGTACACATGCCTCTGGGACCTTTTACTGAAAACATCCCTTTTTGCTATGGGACACAGCGCCAGTCAGCCTATTGGGCAGAGGCCTCGTTTCTAAATGGAAAGGGCTGGTTGGCCTGCAGTGGAGGCCTCACCTTAGAGTTTCCTGACCAACCTGAGCCTCATCTTTTATGGCCTTCACACTCTGTCCTTGATGCAGAAGAGGACGAAGTTCAACAAAGTTCCCCTGATCTGCAGGCTACCTCTAATACGGACACTGGGGGAATAAAAAGGGCTGAACCTATAAAAATCTAGAGACGTAACCAAACCTCTCCTTCAATGACCTTACTGTCCATATGAGGCCTCACACCTAGTAGAAGACTTAACCGCCAGGGGCTTCCGTACCAGGCCCTGTAGCTGCCAGTCTGGAAGCCTGACCAATGGGGATGGTGGTTTGCCTGGGGTCTGAGCGCTATTGACGTCAGTGACGCCCCGCCTCCCAGTTGTTCGGAGCCTGAACACCTGCTGCTGCGTGTTCTGCGGATTCAGCATGGCTCCACTGCTGTGGGCCTCTGGTCAGCCTTCTTCCGCATCCCTCAGACCCCAAAGGCCAATACCTGCTTGCCTTTGCTTGGAACAGTCAGTCAGCAATGGGCCTGGGCAGTCGTGCCCGAGACGTTCACAGAGGCCCTCCTGGTTTCTCCCAATGGCTCCACCATGATGTCAGCAGCCTCCAGGCCCCTTTAACAATATGCAGGTGACCTGCTGTGCTCAGTTACTGAAGAGCCGTCCATAAAAGACTCCGTGTATTTGCTGTAACAGGTGGCCGGAAAAGGACACAGAGTTGCTAAGGGAGAATTACAATGATCTCTAGACACTGTTCATCACCTCAGTCATCATTTAAGCACTGAGGAATTCAGCTATCTCTGAAAAGAACGAAGCTAATCCAAGTACTTCGTAGACCCACGAGAAAGGGGCAGCCTCGTGAACTTCTAGGCCTGGCTGGATATCGTAGACTGTGGGTTCCTAATTTGTCTCTATTTCCTTCCCTACTTTCTGAGCTTACATTTCAGTCCCCGAGCCCCTTCCCTGGGAAGATGAATGTAAACAGGCCTTTCTAAGACTAAAACGAGTAGTGAGAACCGCCCTCCCTCGGGTACCCAGCTCTCCCAAACCTGTCACTTTATTTGCACAGCAGACGGTGAGCCAGGCCCCGGGAGCCTCAGGCAGAAATGGCTGCAAGCACGGGCCTGCGGCCTCACAGCCTGACTCAGCGCTGGCCCCTCCCCGGCAGCTGCAGATCTGCTGGAAGCAGATTTGACCCTAGGAAATGACGTTTATTTGTAAACTCCTCACGCTGTGCAAAGTCTTAACTCTGAATTAACTCAATATTTCTCGGCAAGGAGACTAACCCCCTATGAGATCCCTCTGCCTCCACCTTCTAATCTGCTTCTTAAATGTTGCCCCATCCTTAATCCTGATTTGTTACTGCTCTGCCTGACGAGGGGACCCCCATGACTGTGGGGTGATGACGTCCCATTTCGTGACACCACGTCCCGGTTCATGAGACACCCCTTTAACCAATCCTGATCTACTTCTGTTTTTTGACGGGCCATACCGTGGAAACCAGAAAGGGGATTTTCAAGGTGGTTATGCTGTCACTACCCTAGATGACCTACTGGAAAGCGGAAACCTCCCACCAGCTGAGTCAGCCAACAGGCAGAGCTTCACGCCCTCACTTGAGCACACCAGCTCTCAGAAGGACAAACTGTCAATGTTTATACTGACAGCCAGTGTGCCCTTGGGGTCGCACATAATTTGGGGGTGTTATGGAAGCAAAGGGATTTTCTTTCATCTTCTGGGACTCCAATAAAAAATGGGCAGAAAGTAAATGACCTTCTTACTGCTATTCTCTTACCTTATGAAGTTGCTGTCATCGAAATTAGGGTTCCCACTGGAAAGACTGACCCTGAGTATCAGGGGATGCCCCAGCTGGTCTCCGCGCAAAGGCAGTAGCTTAACATCTGTGAAGATTGTGGCTCCACGTGGATGAAGTCATTCTGCTTCTGCAAAAAATGGCCCTTTGTTGCCAGACTGTTTTCACCCTGGTATCCTTGTAACATGGCAACAATCTGTTCCTGCATCAGAGAAATTAAGATGGATAAACAATGGCTGTGAATAAGGGAACAGTCAGGGCTGTGGGAAACCCAAGATAGCCTCTTGGTTCTTCCCGGCTCCCTGGCAAACCACATGTTCAGCTTTTGCATTCCTTCACCCCCACAGTGCATTTAATATGATTCAGATTATAAATAAGCATTGGTGGAGAGGCATCTATACAATGGTGAAGACACTTTACCATCAGTGTCTGACCTGCCACGGGCAGAACCCTGGGAAAACTGTTTTTGTTCCCAGAGGCCTCAAACCTCCTCCCTCTGAACCCTTTGAACACCTGCAGCTGGAATCATTCAACTGCCACTCAGTAGGGTTATCAACGTTCTCGTTATCACTGGTATGGTTTCCTGAAGGGTTGAAGCCCTTCAGGGATGATGCCCTCACGGTGGCAAAGAAACTGTTAGCAGATGTGTCTCTCTACCACTCGGGGTGGACCTTCCGCAGTTTCCGGTGACTGAGGGACTCACTTCACCAGTCAAATTGTAACTGCGCGGGACCCTATGGGGCCTCCCTGGGGCAGGCCCTTCCCCTATATCCTCTGCTGTAGCTCCTCTCTGAAGTACCTGCATAACAGTATCTGAGGTACATTCTTGAGTTGTTTTACAGATGTGAAAACCCCCACCAAACGGAAGATGTTAACTACTTGATGACCAGGAGCATGTGGCCCCCAGTCATCCTGGAGCCTCAGGACTGATCATGTTACCCCCTGTGACCTCACCATCAACCTATCAGAGAATTGCGCAGAAGCTGATCACATACCCTGTGACCCCCTTCCCTCACCTGGGCTTTAAAAATGCTTTGCTGCAACCCTTCAGAGAGTTTGAGGTCTGGGGGGGCACGAGCCACCCATCTCCTTGCTGGGCCCTGAAATAAACCTCTCTCTGCTCCAAACTCCGACTTTTCAGTTTGTTTGTCTTCACTATGCATCAGGCACAGGAACTTGGGGTCGCTAACAAAATCACAAAAGCCTTAACGAGAACCCTGCAAACTTCTTGGAATTAGTGAAAGTGAGCAGGACCCTATGGGGTTCCTGGGCATGACAGCCTTTCTGTGTCCCCCATTTCTTGACCTTCCCTGATTTCCTAAAAGCAGCTTCAAACCATTGTTGATCAGGGGAGGGAGGGGAGGAGCAGCCACGAAACACTAGCGCAGCCTCAGGGCAGGTCCTGGGTCCCCCTCAAGGGATGCACAGAACAATATCTCTGAGCTCTTCTGCAGAACTAAAACCCCCAAGAAATGGAAGATGTTAACTACTTGATGAAGCATTCTTCATTCCAGAGAAGGTCACAGTTTGATAACCTTGAGAACCAGAGAAGCTCATCAGGAGACCACCTGAGGCCAGATCAAAGGAGTGCAGGCCCTGCACACACCCTGATCTTTATCAGCAACCCTGCCCTTGAACCATTGCTATAAAACTCCTCACCAAATCTGCCTGAGTTGGGACACAAAGTTTTGAGGGGCACAAGCCTACTGTGTCTCCCTTTACCTGGCAAAGCAATAAAGCTATCCTTTTCTACTTCACCCAAAGCTCTGTCTTTGAGGTTCAATTCAGCACTGGTGCACAGAGGCCAAGTTTTTGGCATCATTATCACTGTCCCTCTCACCCTCAATCATCAGGCAAAGTCGGGAGAACTAAAGGGTTCCTCAAATGTCTAAATTTGTCAAGCCTACTGGACTCCGCTGGCCTAAGGTCTCACTGGCTGTTCATAGGACCCCCTTTGGGAAACATAAACTCACTCCACAGGAGAGAGTCACCGGCAGGCGGATGTCTATTGGTATCTGACCTTCTGCTGATCCCTTGTCCCATGCTAGTGCGATCAGCTACTGTAAGTCTCCACTGTCTTATGCTCAAGCTTCTCATCAACACTTTAAAGAAACTTTCCCAGTCCCAATTCGAAGAATCCTGTTGATCAGTCTGGAGCCTCATGACTGGGTCTTCTGGAAACTTCACCAGAGGAAGACAGCCTTCGATGTTGGTGGAAGTGACCTTACTAAGTGCTCCTGACCACTGACACTGCTGCAAAATTAGAAGGTACTGAGCCTTGGGTACACATCTCACAGCTAAAGAAGGTCCCACCTGACATCTGGTCCTGTGCAGACACTGGGGACCTCAGGATCAAACAGACAAGGAGAAGTGGCGGCTGCCACCCAAGACGCTGGATCAAGGTTTCTAATTAAAACGCAAAACCCTTTCTTATTCTTTCCTTTACTCTGGCATTGAAACCAAGTCCCCCTTAAACCGAATTTCTCTGCAGACTTTATGATGAACCTCTCTATCCAAAACTTTACTCCTTTTCTTGTCCCACCCCTTGTTTCCCTCAGGATAGAGGAGTATCAAAGAAAAGGGGGGATTGAAACTAAGCAGGGTCCTGTGGGGCCCTTCCAAGTACAAAAACCCCTCTGTGTCCTCCTGTTTCTTGTTTGTAGAAAAAGGCTTTGGTCTCCCAGGCCCTCCCTGAGTTCCAAAGAGCAGGGACAGGTGGTTACTAATTAAGGAAGTGAGGGAATGCAGAAGCAGAGGAAAAGCAGTTAAATGAGAAAAGTAATGACAATAGTTCAGGATAAAACAGAGTCATAGCTTCTCCTCAAGGGATGTGCACGACAGTCTGACAGAATTCTTTGTTCTCCAGGAGCTAAGCCCTTGCCGGCCTCTTGTTTGTGGAATCTGGACATCCCCCTCCTCTGTTGCTTTAACCTCTGAGACATGAGCCTCTGTTCAGCCCTGCACATACACGTTAGTCACTAAAGGAATTCTGCCCACAGCTTGGGGTGTATGTGACAGCCCCCTTTCAAGAAACCCCCATGGGGATAAGGAAATATGAACAAGAAAAATTCACATGTCTCATCTTTCTCTGAAGGAACATCATGACCAGACCAGGTTAATGTCAACCGGAGTCAACTGACCGAGAACAAAGACCTTGGACTGCAGCCTCTTCTGCTTCCTGACCTCACCTCTGCACGCTTCCCCCTTCCCTGGCATGAAAGAAGCCTGAATTAAGATGGTTCTTTAGGATATTAGTTTGCCATCTTCTCGGATTGCTCGCTTCTGAATAAAGTCGCTATTCTTCCCCAACACCTTGTCTCTCAACTCAGTGGCCTGTTGTGTGAGCTTGGACTCGGTTACAGCTACAGGTGTCACCCTCATCTGTATCTCCCAGGCTTTGCTAAGGGGGTGGCCTTTTAGACGGCTGGCTCCGTCATCAAAGATTCTGACCCACCTATGATGCTGGAGACCCCTGGTCCTCCCTGAGGCCAGTTTCTCTTCTATTCCAAATGTCACTGCAAACTACAATTGACCCCTTAGAAATCTCTTATTGACTTCAACTCTTACTGTTACCGAGTCCAGTATCATACTGCTTACCACATGACAGGCCAACACATCAAGACATGAGGTGTTGGGACTAGGAATAGTGACTTTATTTGGAAAGCCAGCAGATGGAGAAGACGGCGGACTCGTGTCCCAAAGGACCACCTTCCCTGAGTTAGAATTCGGTTTTCTTTTATACTAAAAGGGGAGGGGGTGTGGCTGGCTGTTGCAAACTTCTTCCAGACCTTGGAGGGGATGTGAAAATTCTTTGTTCTTGCAGCACTGTGTAGGTCTGGTCACAGTGTTTCTATAATCCTCCAACAAGACAAGTGTTATTCTCTATTCGGCAACTTTTTATCTCTATATGAATGAAAAACTGTTATGCCTTTAAAGTGCAAACCTGGGAGGCAGAGCCTTGAGGAGGCTCAAGGCTCAAATATTATGTATATTTCAGGCTACAGGCAACATTCTTTTATTTTTTTAATTAAAAAAAAGTAAAAAAAATTTTTTTTGGCCATGCTGCTTGTCTTGAGGGATCTTAGTTCCCCAACCAGGGATTGAACCCATGCCCTTGGCAGTGAGGGCGCAGAGTTCTAACCACTGGACCACCAGGGAGTTCCCAAGGCAACATTCACTTAGTGTTTGAGGAGACAGGATGCAGAGCCAGCATGACTAAGAACAGGCAACAGAGCACAAAGGTTAGAGCTAAAGGAATAGATCTGACACGGAGTCAGGTTTGTTCTTCTCTGTTACCTTATGCCAGAACACCTGTGCCTTGTTTTTAACCATTCTCCAGTTATAACTGTACCTGCCCAGTTAGACACAAATACCTAAATAAATCTTAGCACTTCTGCATCCTCACCTTCTCATGATTATCTAGATCAGGGCTGCCCCCACCAACTAAGAGATCTCTCCAGCAGCACACATATTT